TCTGCAGGAAATCAGGATTTCTCCTGTCTTTAGGAGACAAATTTAGTTAAACACATAATGTACTCCTTATTTCTACAACGTCTTTCAAAGGCAACCTATTGGAATCACTGTCTGAATAACGACAACATAAACTGACTTGATTAAATCTCCCACACCCCTTTAATGTCAACATGGCTCCCCTTCATTTAAACATTGACCAACATCCAGACACACAACCAAATAAGTTAATATTAGCATTCAAAATGGTATCAAGGTTGAACACAAACATCGGCTTTGGCATTTACAATGTTTTGATGGCACAACTTTAAAAGTAACATCATTATCAGTATCTCATGTGGGAGATCAGCGTAGTTGCAGAAGGAAGAACTGGCACATCAAAATTTGGAATTTCAGAAGCACCAAAATTCCTGTCAAGGACCACCAGGAACAGATTTGATCACAGAATGCTTGGCACTGGCTCAGTGTGGCTTCACATCAGAAATACTGTTTAGCAGAGAAAAAAAAGTCTTCTGAGAATTTGGCAGCAAACCTAACAAGTCTGCCTGTGCAAACAATATCTGCCAGGGCATTTCTCTTTGAATACATGCTTTTTTCCTTTTTAGTGAAAGACAGGATAAATCTCTATTTCCTACAGCTCTTCTAGAAATACAGGTAGCAAACCAAATAAGAACAAACTCTTAGGCTAACACATTATTTTCCTTTGTGGGGGTTCTGTCTTTGTGGGATCCATCACCTTTGCCTTCCTTCCCTCTTATTTCCATCCATGAATTCTCACTGAACTTTGTTATCTCTGGCCTCCTTTCAAAATTTAGGTGAAATAAGCCAAGCTGAATTCAAGAGTTACAAAAGAACGTGGCAATTAAAACCTGCCCTGACAGATAGCACACTCATTTAAGTTTCTTTTACTTTGTTGTCCAAAAATTAAGCAACCCTTACATCCTAGAATCAGCCAACTTATCTCCTAAAGGCTCTAGTCTTCAAGGCATTTCATCACTAAATTTTTGCAACAGAATTACTGTTAATTAGACAAACATATGTATTTTTAAAATTTGGTAAAAAAGAAAAAATGAAAAATTTTCCCAATCTTAGTTTGAAATGTTTGAACTCTTAAGCTCTTCTTTGGTTGGTGCACAAGTGATACTACCAGTGGAAAAGTGGACAGTATCAAAAGTGTTTACAGAGCTTGGGGCAGTAGTCAAGTGCATGGGGAGGGCCCAGCTGGTATTCTCCTCAATCCTGCTGGTCATGGAAAGGCAACTGGAAAGCAACTAAAAGCAAGCAGAGATCTGACGTGCACTCTGGAGGTCTCCAAAATGCACCAAACAGCATGTGCAGGCACCCAGGTTTCAGTGACAGACCTTTGGAGGTCCACTGGCTACACATAAAGCACTGGAAGTGCCCCAGACAAAGCAGGTAGGACACAGAGGCTTCATTGCCCAAACCTATCGCTTGACCCGTAATGGTGTACCAGTAAGTTCTGCTATGCATCATGCATAACCTAACAACGTTTTTTGGTGTGCTCCAGGCATATCTGGGAGCTGTCTCAGGTGCATCAGGAGCCTATCAGGGTCTTTCTGTGCTCCCCACTGCTCTGAGTGCTTCTGAGGTGAACCAGGGCTTTTGCGTGATGTTTTGTGCACACCAGACTCTCCAAGTGCCCTCTGGTATGCCCACAGGAGCCTCTGTCAGTCTTGCCTTGTACCTAAGGGCCCTTGGAGAGCCTTTAGTGGGTCCCAGGTGCCTTTGAGTGCCTATCTCCAAAGAGAATCTTTACCATTACTCTTGCCCTAAGCCACCCACAGTCGTCTATGAAAGCCTGCTGACAGCCCTGCACCACAGCCCTCTGAGTACCTTTTAATGTGGCCCAGGAGAAGCCAAGAGCCATTTGGAGTGCATAGGGGGCATCCGATTACATTCCTCTTCTCCCCAGGGGTCTGAGAACACCTTTTCATGCACTTCTTGACACGCTGTGCAAATCTAGCACCTTCAGATGCCTTCTGGTCTGTCCACAAGGCCTCCATGTCTTTTGTGGCACCTACAGGCCCCTGGAGTGCCTTTGGTGGGCCCCAGGGTACCTCTGAGTGCCTATATATAAGCCGAAGCCTAACCCTACACCCACACCCAGTAGTCTATGGGTGCCTTCTAGTACGCAGCGTGACATTCCAGGAAGAGCCTTTCAGTATGCCCCAGCATACCGAAATGTGTTCCCCCTGTTGCATCATTGAACTACAGGGAATAGTAACAGCTGCTTTCAGCTTTCGCTGTTTCTACCTTTGTTTTGCCTTGCCTAAAAGCACCGGTCCTGAGCCTAGTCAGGTATTTGGGCCTTGCATCACTACTGTCCCCATCTGAGCAAGAGATGTTGATTGTGTTATGTCTAAATAAAGTCCTTCTTTTCAGAGTAGAACAGTCTTCTGATACCCAAACACACACTTCAGGTCTTAGACAACATTTACAAAACTAAACAGAGTGTCTGAAAAAGAGCAGAAATCTGACAGAAGGCTTCTGCTGAGCATCTGAACTAAAATTTTTTCAACCACTTCAAATGAAAAACACTTAAGAGCTCATTCCATTCAGAAAAGCAGATTTTATTTTAAACAGCAGCACATACATACAACAGTTTCAAAATATACATATTTGAAAACAAAAGACTGCACTCTGTTAACCAACTTGCTGTGGGTTATCAATTGTTACAGTTACATTTGCAACTAGGCAGAGTAACTGCATCAGAGCCTTTCTATGAGCAGGATACTCTTAGGTCTCACTGGTGTAATTGTGCAATACACTGGAACTGCTGGTAGCTCATGAAAAAAACCAATGAAAACCCACAACTTGTCAATTTACTGTCATCTGGAGGCTTCAGCTACCTGACTAAATATTTTCAATCAGGAAATGTTATTTAAAACAAATGTGGCAAATCATGAACTTCAGGGAAACACTTTATGCACAGAATATACAAACTTGAGTGGTTGTACACATTTCTGAAGCTTCCTGAACCAGGACTAATCCCAACAGAAGCAACATAGCAGCACTTTGGTAAGGGAGGATGCCAACTTTTCCTAAAACCTTTTGCTTTTGTTGATTTTTATCTTTGTTCTGCATTTAAATAAAAGTTGCTTACATTTCTGTATGCTTTAAAATACCATTGCATTACCATTTCTTCTCTTGTGTTTCACCACAGTTTAACAAGTGTCAGAATATGCTACATATAAATATCCTAACCCAGCCACCATTTATTAAGTCACTACAGAAATATTTTCTACATAAATCTATCTTTTTAAAATATAATTTAAATATAAATTTTTAATAGCAAAACCAGAACACATCATCAGAAGATTCAGCTTACACATGATTTTCAATGTGCTAGCACTCTTAATGAAGCTGCTCCAATTATGGCAAATAACATTGTTTTCTTTTGGGTTGTGTTTGGTTGGAGGGGGCGGGGTGGGGTGTGTGCAGGGCACAAGGGGCAGCAGGGAGGGGTTTGAACAAAATGTGCAAACAGGTTAAGAATAAATTGTGATCACTTCACGTCCACTGCCCCGGACCAGTAGGACTCTATCCAGACCTTCTGTCAGAACTTCCAAAAACTCCATGTCTGAAATATCATTAAGTCAAGGAATTTAGTCAGGAAAGAAACAAAATAGCTACTAGTCTCTCTTAAAAAAAAAACAACCCTCACATATAATGCAAAAATCAATGTTCAACAATTTCATCAAGGGGTTTTCCTGTGTCACCCTTTACTGTCCCATTATGCCATCCACTTGCTTGCTCGCTCTAGTGGAAGCGAAGCATAATTTGGGGGAATTTCTAGTTCTGCCCTACTCACCTAGAGAAAAGAAAAATAGAGATTTTAACATTAAGTCCAAAATCAAGGAATGCTTTACATCAATTCAATAACACACACCCCCCTCCTTCACCCCCATTAACATTGCTTAAAACTCTGTGGAATGAAAAGTCGTTTCTTTAAAGGCAAACTCAGCGCTTACCATGGTTACTAATGGTCACCCCAACAAGCAGACAATGGCACAATCACAACAATTGAACTCCTAGTTTCAAGAAATATGGAATCAATATAGCAGAGGATACAGTTTTCATCCCCTTTTCTGTTTTTAGGAGGTCCAGGCATATTCAGGAGAACTAGCTGAGCATGCTGTGATTTATTAAGCACTACTCCATTGAGCTTCACAGCGGTGTGCATTCTTCTCACATTTGACTGATTCCTAGCATGCAAATAAACATTTTTTAAGTATTGTCACGTCACGATATTTACGTATTTGAATTCTGCGTTATGGATTTGAATTTACAAATTTAATCTATACGCACATAAAACAAGCTGTTTTCATGGGCACTAGTATTTGTACACATTCAAAATAAAGTTGTGAAAATGCAACACACAGGTTTAAAAGACCTTTTTTCCTTTGAAAAGAACGTTTAACTCTGAAATTCAAGCAATTCTACGCAAATTGCCAAAATGCACAAATCTTCCAATTGTCAGCTATCTTTTACAAAGATGAAGCAAAAACTTAAATTCAACAGAAATTAAGTTTAGTCAAAACCACTGAGAATCCAGTTTATCGAATTATATAAAGAAGTAACTGGATCTGTACAAGAAATTCCAAACAAAGAAATTACAGGAATGCAAAGATTACAGTATTTCTGTGGCACAGTACAAGATTTTCCTCATGCTCCCTTGCAAACATTACAAGATTACTATAACCTTGGTGAAGAAAATTCAGAAACAGCATAGAATTTATGAAAAAATTATTAGTTTCTCATGTCATAAAAGTAAGGCAGTGAGCAATGAACCGAAATTGAGCCTCTCCCTTACATTATCAATATTAACTAATGCTCTGCTTGTTGCACCCACAAATGGAATTGTCATAAATTTGTGCGCAAGAGGAAGAAACTGCCATGACTTCAGAGGCGTCTTTTCACCTCCATTAACGGCAATCAAAATTACAGCACAAACCGAAGCCCTGTTTCAGCTCAAGTAACAGTAGAAACTAATGAGGTCTTTTTCCCCAAAAGAAAAGCGTTTAGGAGGCCAAAATTTACAAAAGGAAATGCATAACTTTGTTCTGTTACCAGAGGCCGTTTCAGGGGACTACAACACTTAATCCTAGAACCTTCCAGCAACATGAGGCCACTCTCAGATTATATAAATAAGCATGGAGCTGAGAACAGCAGCCAGATACAGGTTCATTCAAATGCAGGGGACCAAGGAAGATGGAGAATGCTGGGAGCACACATACTACTAAGTCCTGTTTTTTTACTATGAAGGGAAAAGCCATTAACAGGACACTATCAGAAGCAGCACATCTCATGTTCTATTTTCAGCCTTGACTTTGCAGGCGCAATTAGGAGGGGAAAAAAAAAAAAAAAAAGCATTTGGCATGAAGTTTAGTGGCCAGTGGAGACCAGCCCCGATTGCTATCAATTCTCTCTTCCCCTCCCCCTCCTTCTTATTCCCATTTCACCCACAAGACACTGACATTCCAAGCAGAGTTTATCAGTCCCTCCTGGGGGATTTTCTGTCACAGCAGCCATCTGTCCCAAGAACCAACTGCACAAAAGCCACATATGGAACAAAATAATACAGTTTTTCAGAAGCAGAACAGCAGCTTGAGAAGACCAAAGAACAACTACAAAGACAGACAAGAGTGTATAGCTGAAAAGCTGTATAAATATTGAAGTAGAAACATTGTTAAACTAAAGATAAAATGCAGGGGAAATAAGGAGGGTGTAAATTTGTGATGGAGAGGGCAAGAATGCAGCACTGAAACAAAGGCTCAAACTGACTAAAGGTACACTGGGCATGAAGTGAACAGAGGCTGACTGACTTCATCTAGCCTTCAAGCACTGGCAGAACTGAAATCATACATGGCACACAAAAGTAAACTTTCTAAGTTTTCATAAGGAGCTCAATTTGTTAAACAGACCAAACAAAGATAGCACTGGGCTCTGAAAAAAGCAGAGCAGTCACAAGTCCGTTCCACCCAAGAACAAAGAGATTTAATGTTCCATTTTTGTATGCTGTCATGCCCAACGTATATCTGAACTTATGTTATTTCTACACATGCATGGGTTGGTAGGAGGGAGGCAAGAACGGGCATTTGATGAAATGTGAACAAATTCATCCTTATTGTCCAAGTAGTTATGCCACAATTTTTCCAGAACAAAACCATATTCCCTTTTTAATGTAGTTAATTAGAAAACTAAATATTACACTGGTACAAAGGAGTACTGTCAAGTTTTATGTTCTTACAGAAACTAAAATACACACTCTGTGACTTACCTTGAATGGAAAGTTGATAATATTTAGCAGAAAACAGTAACAAGTCAAAGAGTGTTTTTCAGCGATAAATCACACTACATAAAACAAAGTACAAAAGAACACACACGCTGCAAATCATGACTCAGGAAGCACGCATGCGATGTACAAGACCAAGAACCACAGCCTACATTGCTTAAGTGAAACGAAATTTAGACTTACAGATTTCCCCATTCTCTACATGGAAGGGAAGCAAATGCACAGGAAAAAAAAGTATTTATGCCATCAGGTACATTTTTAATTCAACAATATTAATATATTGTACAGGCACACCAAGTTTGAACTGTAATTTCAAAATTTAAAACCATATATAGTAGTTTTAAAATAATAATAGTCTACATCTTGCACAATTCTGAAGTAGTAATAGGAAATATTTCCAAGGTATTAACAAAAAACTCCCCTAAGAATTAGAGCATAATGCAGCCCAGAGCAAAAACGGTGCTTTAGAGCATGAGCAAGACCATGACCAGACTTTACAGAAAGCAAACTATTTTTAAGGAGCTCAGAGCAACCCACCAAACAACTCAGAATTTTAAGGTGCTGATTTTAAGTGTACCTAACTCTGCTGTCTACAAGATAAAAGATATGTTTCCTTTAGGCATTAAAATTCACTTGACATCCACAGGTTTGCTCTGGGCATGTGCAGAAACTAGTCTAGGCCATGCTTATAACTGCATTCTTCCAGAACACAGAAGAGATGCGTGCACATGCTTGAACCACAGCATGAGGAAGCAAACAAGCTGATGTCTTTCTGTCATTGGTTTTGTGTCTACTACATCAGGCTTGACACAGGCAGCAGCTCTATCTATTAAGGGACTTCTATTTAAGAAACAGACATTAAGAAATATTTCAACAGGAAATACTTAATATAACAAGACATACATATAATCACAAATTTTATATTGCTTTGATTTACAGGTTGAGGGCTCAATGTCCATTTAAAAAAAAAAAAATCCCAAACCAAAAAACCCTCCACCCCAAAACCAAAACATAAGATGAGTGCCTTGAAAGAGTCTATCTGCTTCTTTGGTACTCTCCCCACCCTCAATAAAACACCATAAATGAGACAGGAAAATGATATGCAGTAATTTGTTAGCCACAGAAAGACAGAAAAACAGAAGTTATCATTAAGCATGTTAACATATATGCTTTCTGGTACCATCCAGCAATGTTGTTTACAGCCTGAAAGTCTGCCATATTTAAACTTCATTCACAACATTCTTGTGAATAACTTTAGTTGTTGTTGTTGCACCCAAGTCCATGCTAATTTCACAAAGATGGCATTTCAGTGCAGCACACGGACAGATCGCATCTGTATTCAACTTTAAATAAACCAGAATCTCTTAAAAACCAAAACACAGAATGACAACAAAAAACCCCAACCAAACCCCACATGCTAAAAACACAGACAATCAAATATAAAACTCCAAACACCATGTGTATACTTACGGCTTCATGTTGAAAATATCTTTAAAGCCAGACACATTTGAATCTTTGTTTTTATGTTTTTCAGCCACAAACTTTTCTTTAGTCCAGGTCATGTGCACTTTTTCTGGTGCAGCAGCCACACTTGCTTTGACTGCTGGAGCTGAGCGCAAGGCAGTGTTTCTGTCATGGATCAGCTGAGCCTGGCCACAAAACAAACAATCACCCCAAGATTCAGCCAAAAAGAGCACTTGTAGATTACACATTATTAAAATTTTGAAAAGGGATTTCACAGCAGTGGAACAAAAGAGTATACAGAAAAATGCACCTTACTTGGTGAACAAGTCCCACAGTGTTTTGACTTCAGCATGAAATGAAACTGCTGGTAAAAATGTAGTTGTTTGTATTTGCAGCATTACATCTGGGCTGGGAAGTTATTTTTGCAGTGAACAGGTTGAATCCAGCCTGAGGCTACTATATGAACCCCAGGGGGTTTTTGCCAGTGAGAAACTTGGAAAGCCAGAGCTCTCATTGCTCATCAGTGACACTGCCATTTCCTCAGATATAGTCCTAAACCTTGTGCATGTCACATGCCTTTAGCTGAACACCAGTGTGACTCTCATGAGCCCAGCAGCACAACATTCGACTGGCTGAACTGAAGGCTAGCTGCGTTCTGTTAAGATTATTTGTGCACGCAAGTGCATTTTACACTGCAGAAGCCAATCCACCTGATCATGAAGGGGCCTTCTCCTCCCTTAAAATAGGAGAAACTCAAATCACAACTTCCAGAACACAGTATTATTGTTCACGCATGCATATGCACTTCTGTGTTGCCCATTTCTCATTCCCCTTGCTTCTCTTGAGGAAAGAAGGAAGAAACATTTAAACACGTTATCCACTTACTTGCTTTCGCTCATAATAGTTTGTCCATAGGCTTCTGTATTTCCACCAAAAGCAACACAAATACAATTTTAAGAGTCTAAGGTACTGTAAGTGAATTGGTATGGGGGGAGGATTGTTTTTGCATTTCAGGTGGGTTGTTGGGGTTTTTTTTTGGTGTGTGGAGACTTTTTGGTTGGTTTGTTTGGTTTTTTGGGGGTGGGAGTCTTTTCGGGGTTTGTTTGTTTGTTTCCTTGTGGTTTTGTTGTGGTTTTTTTTTTTTTTTTTTCTTTAAGATCTTTAGCATTATGAAGTCTCTTTAGAGACTTGTTAAATCATGAGTTGATTTGGAGACCTCAATTATTCGTGTTAGTGATAGTCATGTCCCTCCAGAAGAATCAATTTAATTCTGGTCACACTCAAAAGCATGAATAAATTCAAAGCAGACGAGAAAACCACTTTCTATCTCTGAGCAGCAATTCCTCTAGTGGTTCACAAACTGTAATTGTAGCTGTTTTTAAGTGCGCAAGAGCGTCTGCAGTTTTCCTAAATTATTTCCCTAGTCCCTATCCTTGAGGATTCCCAAATCCTAGACTTTAATTCTGACGTTCACATAAATATCTATTAATGTGATAGTCTTCATATCTCCCCAGAAGATTAAATCACGAGTCAAGACTACGAATCAGAAGTTCCTGTGATCATAGTTGTATCACAAGAATGCAAAAAGCTAAATACATGCAGACACTATACGTGCAGTACCCAATAAACTAACATTTCAAACTAACAGCTGTAGGATGCTTTCAGTACAACTATGCTTCAATGGAAGAGGGTTCACCATTTTTAGAAAGACAGTGAGGCCAAGAGAAACTCTAGACCTATAGCATATATTTCTAAAAATGCAAAGACACCAAAACCACATTTTTGTTAGTGCTATTTTGATACCAAATTAACTACATGGAATACAACACGTTCTTCTCATACTTCAAGAAGAAAGGGAAACACGAAGGTATACAGCATTTCTACAAACTAGGCTACATGTATGTGGACATGAGCAACACTTCAAGTGCACACTAAACCCATTGATTACATGCAAACAGTAGTAATGATGTTTACGGGTTAATAATGGCTTGTCAACAAGCATAGAAATCTCCTTTAAAAGCCCTAGTGTATCTATATAGTCTCCAAGAAGCTTAAGTACTTCAATATAGGAACTATAAAGGAAGCAAACGCTTTATGAAAGCATCGAAGATGCTTATTAATGAAACATCCACAATTAAGATCTTTTAAGAGACAGAAGAAGGGAAATATCTTTGCTTCTGGCTCTTAAGAAAAACAGGCACTCTCAGAAACATAAGTGTTTCTTTTCTGGAAAATAAGTGTAAAGGAAACCAGGATGTAGTTCATGTTGCAGAAGCATCACTTAGAGAAAAAATACAGGGCAAGATAATGAATTTAGAAAAATAATAAAATGAAGATTTATGAAGAACCATTCCTTAACAACGAATGCTCAAGATGTTCATCTGTAGTTCAGTTTGCAGTAGTGGCACTTCAAGTGTTGCAATGGGGAAATATATCTAGCCAGTACTACACCCAACTACCTCCTCCTCTCGATAATCGTTAGTCAGCAGTGCCTGTGCATCTTGGCCAAGGGACTGTGGACTGGAGTAGCTTTTTCTTCTGATTGAGCCTCGAGACTCATCAGTGATACTCTGAATCTGGGACAAAAAGGTTACCAATGACAAAAAAAAGACGTACAGAAAAAAGCAGATGATTACATTATTCAAAATAAAACTTGTCTCCATTTCAATAGATGAGATTTGATATCGTAGTTACAAACTTGGTTTGTTTTCACAAACATGCCATTTGTTCATATGTACTATGGGGCTCTTTCTGAAATGTTCAGCAGTTAGTTACGAAGGCTATTTACAGAGATTTGTGAAAATATGAAGTGAATTGGATCCTTTAATCTACATGAGATCCTCAAATATTCACTTGTTTGGAGGGTCATATCCCTTCATATATGTGCGGATTCAGATGAACTGATTTTATTCAGTTACAATCAAAAGTATGAAAAAAATTTAAGCAGATGAGAAAGCTGCTTTCTCACTCTAACCACCGATTTATTTCCCAGTGATTCCCATTGTACTCCTCACCTACATGCACCTGCATTTCTGCCAATCTTACCTAACAGCAGTGATCTGCACAACAGCACTTGCACTGCACAACTCAACCCAAAATGTGGGCTGTGGGACAGACTGCCTTATCACAGCTCCAACAATATCTCTGCCTGGCCCAATGGTGATCAGTCAGGACCAGGCAGAGAAGGAAGCCAACCAAGGGCAGCAAGGAAGTGAATGAGGCTCTACATTTTCTTTTATCTTTGCAGTGTTACTGTCAAAGTCAAATAAATGTTTGGCAGTTGCATCTAGGTCTGCATATCTTACACTTTGCAGTCATGTGTTATATTTAAACTTGAATAGAAGCAAATCAAGCAGTTTCCTCAAAAAAGGAAACAAAAATCCAATGAGTCCCCATGCCCCCGTTGCACAAGAAAACATAGGGGCAAGATCAAATAAAGTTCCATTTAAAAAACTGACAGAAGAGGGAAGGGTGAGGGTGATTCCTCAGGGAAAAGAGCATGCCTGCGAGTCAAACAGCAAAAGAATGCTGTACAAAACGAAACTCTCCTCTTTGTGAAGGTTTGAGCCTTGTTTGAAGAGGTACAAGCACAAAAGTGAGATTAAAATGCTAATTTTGGTGGTAACAGGAAACAAAACTACAAGCACCATTCAAAGCTGAAATGTCAGGGTTATATTTTAATGTCTGGGACAGATAATGAGAACAAAAGCAACACAAATTTGAACTGGTGATACTAATGAAAGAAACATTTTGGAGGTCATCATAAAACTGGAGGGGATGACTCAGCTCATTTAAGAGAGGATGATCAGATTAAGAAAGGGCCTGGCACACTGAGTGTATATACTCAACTTGTAACTCCAGAGGAAGTGAAGGGCTAACTAATGAACATTTTCTGATGAAAATACAAAATAATAAACTAGATGAAGATACCCTAATCAGAAACAACAAGCAGATATGGCTTCTTTTCTTGGACAAGGCAGGAAATAAGTAGTAGATGTTCCTGGAATTATCAAGGAATTTACTTCAGACCATGAAATAAATTCAATGTTTTTTTGAACATCTCAGATTTTACCCTGCCTGATATGTAGGAACAAACTGAAACCATAATGATGATGGTTACATTCAAATAAAAGTGAGTAATAATAATAATAATAATAATAATAAACATAATAATAAACCCAACAAAAACACAAACATATACGTGGGGGAGGAGAAGAAAGAAATGAAAGCTTCCAAACAAACACCACCAAAGTAGTACAGATTCCAACCAACTCAGAGCTGAGAATAAATTCTTTTGTCTCCGGTACAATTTATATGCCATGGACTACATAGCCTTACGTCCTTGGGCTACTTGTAAAGCATTCATGAGAAAGTTAAATCCTTAAAAGGCTACTGTAGATTGATTACTGGAAAACTACTAGTGTTCAATAAACAAATGAGAAAACATTAAAAACACTGAGTAAGGAGTACAGGAGAGCTTGGTTTTTTACTGGAAAGATGTAGGCAAGCTCAGGTCAAAAGAACACTACTGTGATGCAGATGAGAATAAAGAGTATTTACAGCAGCACATTGTTGTAGCAATACAAGGCATCTTTAGGAACCCTAAAAAAATCCTGTGAAATGGAAAAAAGAATAAGGAGAGATAGAAAAAAGGAAACTGCATAGACTTGTAAGATTAACACCAAAAAGGCTTAGCCATAAAATGAGTTACAGTTATCAGTAGACAAAAAAGCAACAAGAAAAAAATTCTAGTTGTTTTACAAATGAGCAGTTAAACACAGTAGAGATCTCTTACCTGGCATGGGTGGGAAATCACTATAAGTGACAGCAAAGCCAAAACATTTAATACCTTTTACATCACTAGAAAGTGTCGATAATAATGGCGTAGTTAACAGAATAAATGAGGTTGTAGAAGCACAAGCCAGAAGAAAAAAAGATTTAAAAGTTACAAATATTCACCAAAATACAGCTGCATGAAGCTTGTCACTACAACGTGCAAAATACTACCAGGGACTAGTAAGGGTAGGGGAGCAGCAAAAGTAGCACTCCCATCTGGCAATTATAGGTTAATAACCCAATTTTGGCTCCAGAAACAACAATTAATTGATATGTGAAACACTCAGAATAATGCAGAAACTAAAAAATTGTTGGTGTGAATTGAACAAGATCAAGTCACAAACAAAGCCAGTCAGCACAGCTGAATATTCATGAACCTTAGCTACTGATGTATGTCAAGTTTGGAAATGCTCTGGATAAATACATCAATTTTCTCACACTGACGCTCAAATGTTTTGCTAGTAAATACTCGCACTAATCTTAACAAGAACAGGAAAACTCTAAATATCTGTTCAAATAAAGAAGGATTTTTTTTTTTGACATTATTTTACCAAATAAGACCTGCTGCAGAGGAACTAACATAGAGTGCAGTTATAAAAGCTTTTGACTAGCTGGAAACAGATTAGAAGTCCCAGCCAAGAAATACTATTTTCAGGTTTTTCACAAAAC